TTATAAATATTATGATGGATCATAAGATGTTATGATGATTACGAATAGGCTTTAAAATATATGTTGTTACCTTTGAAACATATATTTTTGAGTTATAACTCGATGCTGAAAAGTTATAACTTGAACCAAAATTGTTTAATCTTCCGCCATAGTATCTCATTTGATACCATTAGGATAGTAATATTGGAACATTTAATATGTCAGTAAATAGCATTACTCTTTATATTTTAAAAAATAGAAGGGATTTCTTCACAAATTTCTTTCATAAGTTTGAATGTCAAGCAAGCATGACCAATTATTAACATCCTCCACAACCCAAAAGTCTTTCCAAACTAAACTCCCCTCCCCCCCCCAAAAAAAAAAAAATACCCCNGCAGTCAAAAAAGCATTTATATGTATTCAATATGTTGAGAATGTTACTATAATATAATTAGGGTTTACACTTATTGTAATATGTATACACATATATACCACACAAAGGATATACTCGTCTTTTGCATCTTTGTTCAGTAACTATAAATACAAGATTGATAGTTAGAGGTAGGGTATGTTAAAACCTCTCTTTACGTCTCTTATATTGTGTTAAGTATGCCTATCCTCTAAACTTACCATGGTATCAGAGTCATTAGGTCTAATCTCCTATTAATCATCTTCTCTTTTTTTTCTTCTTTTATTTTCTTTTCTTTCGTTCTTTGTTTTCCGCTTCTACTACGTTTCTATGAGCCCACTTATACTGGTTCTACCAGTGTATTGGATGGGTTTGCATGGAAATTGTGCAATCCCTAGAATACCACATTGGGATGCAGTCATTTGCATTCTTCGATATCTCAAACGTGCTCTTGGTTTTGGATTGTTATATCAAACTAATAGACATCTTAGAGTGGAAGGCTTTTTTAATACTAATCGAGCTGGTTCTCCCTCTGATCGACGATTAACCACTGGTTATTGCACTTTCTTGGGAGGTAATATTATTTCATGAAAAAGTAAAAAGTAAACAGTGGTAGCACGATCCAGTGTTGAGGTTGAGTATAGAACAATGGCACATACAACTAGTGAGTTGACATGGTTATTACACTTTATTCAGGAAATTAGTTTTCCAATTCAACTTCCTTCACAATTGTTCTGTGTTAATCAGGCAACTCTTCATATTATTGTCAATCCAGTGTTTCATAAGAGGACCAAACATATTGAAGTTGACTGTCATTTGATTCGAGACAGGATACAAAATGTAAATATTGCAACTCCATTTGTGAGATCTGAGACTCGACTTATAGAAATGTTCACCAAAGCATTAAGTCGTACTCGTCTTACAACTATTTGTTCTAAACTTGGATTATATGATATCTATAGTCCAACTTGATGGGGAGTGTTGAGAATGTTACTATAATATAATTAGAGTTACACTTATTGTAATATGTATACCACACAACGGGTATTCTCGTCTTTTGCATCTTTGTTCAATAACCATAAATACAAGCTTGATAGTGAGAGGAAGGGAATGTTAAAAACTCTCTTTGCCTCTCTTATATTGTGTTAAGTATGCCTCTCCTCTAAACTTAACACAATCTAGGAAAGTGTAAATAGCAATTGAATTATACCTTCTACCTATTTTATATTTTGAGGATCTTACCTTTGTGAATATATAAAACTAGTTTGGGATAAATCCTATATTTTGATTTATGTCATAGATTCAGCCCCACATTTATTTTTTAGTTTTAACTATGGACATGACTGAGAGAAAATCAGGCTGTCCGAGGAATATTAGTGTCTGTATTTCTTAGGTCACCACTAACAAAGACAAGAAAACACAACCATATAGAGTTTAGCTGTTACGGCGGGAATTTCTGCATCTGACACCTTGTGCTTGCATCAAAACACATCACCATTGTCCATGTTTCCATATCACACGTCTGAATATGAAAAAATATTCTTGTAACTGAATGACCTCAAACATTTCACAAAAAAATTAGAATAAGACACACTGAGTAGGCTCTCCTGGCATCTAAGAAGCAAGACGCTTTTAAGAAGGTGACATGTCCATGTCGAACATCGACACGCCTTAAAACACTCCCAAACACATGTTTGAGATACTCTTTTATTCCTGCCCATAATTAAAAAATAAAATTTTAATTTCGGACACGTGTCCGAAATTCTTTTCCCGACATATCTGAAATTCCTTTGGCAATGTGTCCGAAACTTCTTTAAGTCGTATTTACTACCAAACAATAAACAGGTGTTGAGATCAAGGAACTATATTTCGCTTTAAAACATCTGAAACGTTTCCGTTTCAAAGGAAAGTAAAATGAATCATTTATTGAGTATCAGAATTCCTATGTTTTGAGGCGTTTAGGTAAGTTTCGAGGTGTTTTAGTAGGTTTCGAGGTGTTTTGTAGGTTTCGATGTGTGTTTCAAAATGTTTTGGTATGTTTCAACTAGTGTTTTGAAAATAAATTTTCAAAATTTTTTTTTTGTTTCTATCTTTTTTCCGAAATTTTTTTTGAAAGGTTTCCATTTCCAAACTTACCGAAACTATGTACAAAAACAAAATTTTGATCATTAGTTGAGATGTAAATAACAAAGCTTAAAAATTTAAAAAATGAATATCTTTTTCTATGGAAAAATATATGACTATTAAGACTAATCATGTTAAAATTATTCTTAAAATTTCTTAATAAAATCTACAAATTGAAAATACTTTGTGAAAGAAGAGTAATTGAGTACATGAGTGCAATATGCGTAATTACGTATTTTCCTACATGTTGTCTTAAAAAAAACAATGATAATTGATTACCATGATCCTTTAGTCGAAAACTTCCCACTAGATGAAAAAATATAAGATTTACTAGTCAAAAAGTAATGAATTTCTAATTAGTAATAACATCATTATATCTATCACTAAATTTTATTTTGAAACATGCGAAACATTTTCGTTTCCTAGAAAATTGAAACGAATCATTGATTAAATATCAGAATTCCTATATTTTCAAATGTTTTAAAGTATTTTGGTAAGTTTCAAGGTATTTGGGCATGTTTTGACCTATGTTTTGAATTGTTTTAGTATGTTTCAACTAATGTTTCAAAAATAAATTTTTAAATTTGTCTTTGTTTCCATCTTGTTTCCGAAATTTTTCCGAAACATTTTCGTTTCCAAACTCACCTAAACTGTGCACAAAAACGAAATTTTGAATATTTATTATACAGGGAATTTCATCGAGACCCTAGTATAATGTCATATCTTCACGGTCACCCCTTGTATTTCCCAAAATTCCATTGTCATCTTTTCTAGTTTATATACCCGATTCAACCACACCACCCCCTATTGTTAGCCTCAATCACTGACAAGGTAAAAAGTTGATGATGCAACTAAAATTCTATAGAAAATGCCAAAATTATCCTAAAACATGTTAGTGAACTTAAATTACATTGAATAGAAGCTTTAATTACTTTTGCACCCTTACCTCCAATACTAATCAAAATAAACATATTATTTGTAACAAAAATCAAACCCGAATGGTCACAAGCGTAGAGCACTCAACAAGAGAAAAAGAATTAAAAATTCATTGTCTTAGATGAAAAGTGTTTTCTTAGGTTATGGATTTACGGGTAATATCATATATGTTACAAACAAGTTATTAGACTTGAATTTTAGCAATATAAATTTTGAATTTCAACTCAACTTAATCAAATGACCTCTAACTTTCATCATATATTATATACAAATTTTTATAGGATCATAATGGATTGAATTTTAATAAACATGATCAAAATTCGTGAAATATTATACACCGAAATCAAAATTTGAATTTGAATAGTTGATCAAAAAAATGAATCCATATTTGACTAATTGGAATTTGTTGAAGTATAAATACTTAACTTACATCCTCTACAAAAAAAATTTAGAATAGATGGTTGTTTAACATGATATCAAAGCAAAAAGTCCTGTGTTTGAATCTCGCCGTCACCCTAACTATTAAAAATGTTTATAGGTGCTAGGCCCAAAATCTAGCTTGCACGTGAAGGAGTATGTTGAAGTATAAATATTTATGTTACACCCTCTTCAAAAGTTTTTTGGAGTAGATGGTTGTTTAACAAAATTGAATTCAAATTTAAATTAAAATTTGATACACTCACAAGTCTATATACGGATCGTTTCAAACATTTCTCAAAGATGAAAATGATTTTGTAGGTCATGGGTCATTGGGTCTTTCAATTTGCAATAGTACAATACTACAAGGGGTGTCAATGAAGTTTCAAATATTATAGGTGGTGCATGTGAAAATATGGTATTATGAGGGTATGAATGAAAATTTTNATACAATACTACAAGGGGTGTCAATGAAGTTTCAAATATTATAGGTGGTGCATGTGAAAATATGGTATTATGAGGGTATGGATGAAAATTTTCATGCTTGAAATGTCTTATGGGCAGAATGGTAAAATGATGTTTTCGAATAATCTCTTTAACTGACCGCTAAACAATCATCTACTCCAAAAGGTTTAGTTGCCAAGGATGTAACTCCAGTATTTATTCTTCAACAAGCCCCCCTAAAGTACACGATAGATTTCCGTGAAAATCTTTTAATAATTTGGGTCTACAAGATTCTAACAAAGGACCTCATACTTTTAACCATATTAAACAACCTTCAACTCCAAAAGCTTAGATTGTTGAATAAGTTGTAATTTAAGTATTTATTCTTCAACACCGACAAACACTTATGGGCAATGCAGAGGCTATCCATAAAGAGATTGCATAATGCAAGGAGTGTGGATGAAATTTTCCTTAAGTTATATAATGTGTATAAAACATATTTTTTTGTAACATGTCAATATCCAACATTTTATAAAAATATCATGTTCGCATATCCCTGTCATATCAAATCCGTGTTCTAAGCCGCATAACAGGATATGCAACAAAGTCATACGAAATAGAAAGGAACAGAGCCATAATCTTACGCAGCAATAGTAACAAAATGAAGAAGCCCACATAACACAAGCAGAAATTAAGAATGCCCTACCTCAAGTGAAGATTGTTGAATAGGGTGTAATTTAAGACTGTAATCATCAACCAAATAAAATAGCCATATAGAAATAAGGCAGTATGACATTTTAGAGTGAATTTGTTCATATACATACCTCCTCTTCTCAGCTTCATGGGGTATATTGATTGTAAATTTACAAAGTGACGCTAGGAAAGAATTTAAAGGTTCTATGGCACAAAGAACCCCACATGCCTGCACAACAATCAGCAGATGCTCATTATATATTGCAGATCACAATATGAAAGCAGCTCAGTCTGGATGCTCTTTGGAGTATACTATCAATAAGAGAAAGATTAAAGTAACCATGTGAAGTCTATTCTTCAAAAACTGGGGGGTGTGGAGGTGGGGATGAGATTCATAGTGTTGAAAATATGGAACCCATAAATATGCTCTGTCAATGAGTGGAAACCATGGTTACCTGAGTGAATGCTTGATAACCCNGATTCATAGTGTTGAAACTATGGAACCCATGAATATGCTCTGTCAATGAGTGGAAACCATGGTTACCTGAGTGAATGCTTGATAACCCTTTAAAATCTCCAACACAATGGCCTCTCCTTGGGACCTTCCAAATCAACCTCATGTCAGAAATTGAGAAATTGTGCTATTCAAAAGAGTATCATACCCATGAGATGAAAGCTCCACCATACTTTGTCAATATCAAGGATAATGCATCAAGTATGGTCAACCACATTGAATCAACCATCGACATGCAGAGAACTGCAGTTTTCCCTGTACACTTCGCAGGTGGGTCGGAATCGTCTTTGGGGGATTCAAGCTGGTGTTTTATGAGAATATAAGACATTACAAGCCAGAGGGGTCATATGAGATGCTACTTTTCAACTTAGGCAGAAGTAGAAACACATACACAACACAAAAACCTTACTTCACCAACATCCACTGCTTCATCTGTTAAAGTAGCAACCGTGAAAACAACTCCCAACAGACCCTCGATTGCCAAAGTTATTGCATGGGCTTCACTTGCAACCAAAACAGCAACATTTGATGCATCATTATCTAAGCTCCACTCAATCCCTGCTAGAGAAACACATTATCACATTGACCGGCCACTTAGAATTTCAACAACCTGTGATAATTGATGGACTCCACAGATCCTAAGATGCAAGAGGATTGAAGTGAACCCTAGGTCAAAAATTTTGTAACTTGCCCATATCCATTCTTATGTATGACAGCATAAATCTTAATCTAAATGAACCATAAGAAAGCATCAGAAACATCTACACATAATCATGAACTNTCATATCTATTCTTATGTATGACAGCATAAATCTTAATCTAAATGAACCATAAGAAAGTATCAGAAACATCTACACATAATCATGAACTTCATCCTCTTAGCCTAATAAATCATATNCCATATCCATTCTTATGTATGACAGCATAAATCTTAATCTAAATGAACCATAAGAAAGCATCAGAAACATCTACACATAATCATGAACTTCATCCTCTTAGCCTAATAAATCATATTCACCGAAGGAAGTAAGATTGTATCAACATTTGAATAGCACTTCCACGCTGTGCTTCACTAAATTATAGAATTGAGCTTCGCCAGCATAATGTGGACTTGTCGATATTATCTTACAGTATGATGACTTCATGCTCAAAGCTTACTGCCATATTCCAACACTGTTCTCAAGGGCAAATGAAGAAGTGTACATTGCATTGGACAGATTTTGGCTAGTTTTGTGGGCTTTCCTTGACAGAGAATCGTGCACTTTATATTGCATAAGGCATCTGAGTCTACCATTCCTTCAGAGGTAGGCAAAAATAAGACAGTGATAGCAAAAACCCATGGGGCATAGTGATTCAAAAAGTGTTCTTCATCACAACTGTACTGATGGTCATGGAGAAGTGCTTACCTTTTTGGCAATGGAGTGGCCTAAAGTTGACACTCATCAGAGAAATGCACACACGAGATTTCATCCACAAACTACAACCCTCACATATTTTTCAAGTAACACTACTAGTGAAAAATAGGATAACTATTTACTGCAAAAGGATCAAAAGTATGCAGCTAAAGTTGCAACATTCATTCAAATAGGTGATATTGTCTTACAATTTTTCCATGGGACATTGACTCACAAGCTAACGCAAATATCTATGGAAAATTCTAAGAAAAAGAAGCCTAGCTATTCCAAACTGAGATGAATCCTCGAAAAAATCAAATTACAGAAAATCTGAACACATTAAATTTCAATTAATATCATAGATGTCAAATCGTAGCTATTTACAACTATCAAAGTTGCAGCTTGATGAAAGCTGGCATATGTTGCAGCAAAATATATTTTGTGCCTCATCTACATATAACTCTCATTTTGATAGCTACGAGAGTAAGTACCTTTAGCCTTGCTGCTAAACATTCCTGCAACCGCTGCCAAACTCTCCTCACTTGTGTCTTGAACCTAAAACATTAACAAATGATCAATTTTAAAAAAAAAAAACAGAATCAAGAATATTTTAATTAAATAATTGAGGTACTGCAAAGAGCAGAAGAATGAGAATCCAACCAAAAGCGAACTTCATATACCAAATTGCAAAAGTCAAATGTAAACAAGAAAACCTGCAACACCAAAAAAATACAACCCTAACTCTCCTCAAGAGGAATTAGAATTCCCTCTTAAGTGGAACCATCATATTGACTTCCTACTTGGCCAAATAATTAGCATTCTCTTAGCCAATCAAGACAATCGATCTAAATTCAGCTCAAAACAGCAAATACATCCATGACACAAGCATGGAACGGATCCGGTTTTGACCAATTTTGCTATAACTCCCTCTGTCAAGCAATTGTACAAACTCCTGTCAAGGGACTCACTAAGGCTTCCTAAAAAGCTCGAGTATCAGCTTTAAAAAAAACCCTGCACCCGTCAGCACATGAAAAACGATGATGATTTTATTCTGGTAATCATAAAAGCAAGGATCAAAATGTTGTGTCAAAACGTCTAAAACATTTCGGAAGTTTAACACTCCGACACGAAACAGTGGTTGAATCACAAAATTCCAGTGTTTCGTTCGAAACTGAATTGTTTTGGACCGTTTCGACGAAACAGTGGATAGATTCGGTTCACCATTCACTCCAAGCCAAAAGAAAAAAGAGAGAAAAGAGAGAGGCTCAGAAAGCATATACACAAGTAAGAATTCACAGCTCCAAGTCAAAAAAAAAGNGTAAACAAGAAAACCTGCAACACCAAAAAAATACAACCCTAACTCTCCTCAAGAGGAATTAGAATTCCCTCTTAAGTGGAACCATCATATTAACTTCCTACTTGGCCAAATAATTAGCATTCTCTTAGGCAATCAAGACAATCGATCTAAATTCAGCTCAAAACAGCAAATACATCCATGACACAAGCATGGAACGGATCTGGTTTTGACCAATTTTGCTATAACTCCCTCTGTCAAGCAATTGTACAAACTCCTGTCAAGGGACTCACTAAGGCTTCCTAAAAAGCTCGAGTATCAGCTTTAAAAAAAACCCTGCACCCGTCAGCACATGAAAAACGATGATGATTTTATTCTGGTAATCATAAAAGCAAGGATCAAAATGTTGTGTCAAAACGTCTAAAACATTTCGGAATTTTAACACTCCGACACGAAACAGTGGTTGAATCACAAAATTCCAGTGTTTCGTTCGAAACTGAATTATTTTGGACCGTTTCGACGAAACAGTCGATAGATTCGGTTCACCATTCACTCCAAGCCAAAAGAAAAAAGAGAGAAAAGAGAGAGGCTCGGAAAGCATATACACAAGTCAGAATTCACAGCTCCAAGTCAAAAAAAAAAGGGGAAAAAGCAGAGATCTTAGAAGATATCACATGTCTAGGTCCGGTCCAAGTTTTTCAAGCAAAAAAAAAAAAAAAACACAGAGAAGAGAGAGAAAGGCACCAAACGAAATCGAAAACACAGAGAACTATAGACCAAAAATTGAAGGAGAAGTTACTGTAACTTACCTCTTTGACTCCAGATTTGAGCAGATTCAACCATTATCTACGCAGATCTAGGGCTTGGGAGTTGTCTTGTTTCATCGCTGCGACCACAAGCTACCACTGGTATGTTCTTCTCTTCTTCTTCTTCTTCTTCTTCTCTCTCTCTCTCTCTCTCTCTCTCTCTCTCTCTCCGGCACCGGCATCGCCCATCGCGATCGCCTCTCGCCTCTCGCCTCTCTATCTTCTCTCTGTTCGTTCGTGGTTGAACTGTGCGTCATCTGCCTTTTATATATATATATACATATTTTTTGTTATAAATATGAATAATTACATTTAATACTCTACTGTAATTATATTTAATACCCCACTATAATTATATTTAATACTCATTGTAATTACATTTAATACCCTATTGTAATTATATTTACTACCCCACTGCTGTGCAGGTCNGATATCACATGTCTAGGTCCGGTCCAAGTTTTTCAAGCAAAAAAAAAAAAAAAACACAGAGAAGAGAGAGAAAGGCACCAAACGAAATCGAAAACACAGAAAACTATAGACCAAAAATTGAAGGAGAAGTTACTGTAACTTACCTCTTTGACTCCAGATTTGAGCAGATTCAACCATTATCTACGCAGATCTAGGGCTTGGGAGTTGTCTTGTTTCATCGCTGCGACCACAAGCTACCACTAGTCCACTGGTATGTTCTTCTCTTCTTCTTCTTCTTCTTCTTCTTCTTCTTCTTCTCTCTCTCTCTCTCTCCGGCACCGGCACGCCCATCGCGATCGCCTCTCGCCTCTCTATCTTCTCTCTGTTCGTTCGTGGTTGAACTGTGCGTCATCTGCCTTTTATGTATATATATATATATATTTTTTTTTTGTTATAAATATGAATAATTACATTTAATACCCTACTGTAATTATATTTAATACCTCACTATAATTATATTTAATACCCATTATAATTACATTTAATACCCTATTGTAATTATATTTACTACCCCACTGCTGTGCAGGTCTTTTGCCTTTTATTTATTTATTTTTTTTATAAGTATGAACAATTACATTTAATATTCTACTGTAATTATATTTAATACCCCATTGTAATTATATTTAATACCCACTGCAATTACATTTAATTTTTAAATATACATAAGTATCATTAATTTAACTTGATACCCTTCATTATTAGTATTATAATAAAATAGTATTATTAATTGGATAATATTTTAATTTATTTGATGAAAATTAAGTATACATGTGTTTATTTGATGAAAATTAAGTGTTTGAAACTAATTTAAGTAATTTCCGCCTTATGTCAAGCCTTTTTTCCCTCCAATTTAAATTTATTCTTGTATAAATGAATATTAACCCAATAAATATGTTGAATTATTCAATTATTTAGCTTATCTTTATAAATAAATGAATTGTATTTGAGTTTCCACGTGTTTCCATATTTTTTCTGCATTTCCGAAACGTTTCTGTTTTTGAGTTGACCGAAACAGTACTTCGAAACAAAAATCCTTGCATAGAAGCATCCTCCAGCACCAAGTTGGCCCAAGTTGATAGGAGCACACCTGTCGAAGTTAAGTTTAATTAAAGGTTGTTGATTCTCACCTTGTTCATGCCATGAGTACACTTTGTTATATTACGTTCCCATCTTATAGATCTTCAATCTACCTCTCCACATGCAAATGATGGTCACATGAGCAAGAAGTACAGCAGCTTGTTCTACATCGATCCAAAACTAATATGAACCTTATGAGTTTCTTACACTCCTTGTCTAGTGGTTTTGAGCTAGTTTTGGTGTCACATCTAACCCCCCCGTACCATCCGTTGGGCCTTGACATAACAAGACCAAGATAACCTCAATCATGGTTGTCAAATTGTGAATCATATCGTGAATCATTTTATCCAAATAGTGAATCACGAATTGTACAGAATAACATATCATAAGGAATCGTGAATCGTAAGATTCACTACATTAGTACATTTAATGTTACAACACCCTAATTATAATTACAATCTCGAAGGAATTTCTTTTACTAGTAAATTCTTTAAAAATTGATAAAGGACAAGCCGTCACATAAAAAAAGGAAATTGACTCTTAAACAACAGATGATACAATGCCACTGGAGAACACACCATTGCTAGTAAGCCTAAAGACAGCAGCACATGGGTTCAGATTTTTAATCCACAACATGAACAAACAGTTCCTTTAGGCTTTAAAATTGGAACTACACATCACCCGGCTCTCTCTTCCGCGTTTCTCTGTTTTTTATGTCGGGTAATTACTCTTATCTTTTCTCTCTCTATAGTATCTCCTACGTCTCCCTCATCTCTCTCTGTATGCAGCAATTAAGGCCCTTGATCTAAAAACAATCAACCTCCATTCTCAACTCTTGTTCACCTTCCTCGACATTCAAACTCGAAAAACTTAGTCGCAAGTCAACATGAATAAGCTCATTCACACTTATAACTTGCCAATTCTGACAAAAAAAAAATACTTTTTCGATGTTGCAATCCAAACTCGAATCTTTAGCTCAGTCAAAGGTGTCTCACATACTAACAAGCCTAACTTCGATTTTTGTCGTGGATCAGCTTGAAAATCTCTTGGAGGAAGTTGGTTTTTATAGCAATTTTGATTTCAACTCCAATGACAGGTATGTGAAACCCTAGCTTTTTCTCCTTTCTTGTCCTTCTTTCATATTTCTCGTTGTCTGAAATCTGAGGTTTACTTGTACAACCAAATTTTCTGAACCCTAATTTGATTGCAGAGACCGAAGTTGTTTCTGTTATTCCTTTTTTGGGGGGAAAAATCAACTTTTGGCCCAAAGTGCTAACTGTTTCTTGTGATGATTGAAAAAAAATTTAATTTTTGCAATATTGCATGAAATCGAAACAAAATTTCTTGAGGAAAGTATACGATTGTCTGTATCTTGTTGAATTTAGAGATATGCAATAATATGACTGGGAGAATGTAAATGGCAAATAGATGAATAAGGAAGTGTATATCTCACCTGTACACTACAAACAACCCGAGCAAGAGCTTTTACTGTACCCTCGACAATATTTGTGTTCTTGGGATTCCTACAACACACATCAATCCAATAGCTTAAAGCCTTACACCGTATCCGCACTAACACACATATATTCTGAGTTGAAGGCAATGCAACACCAAATGCAGGTAAACAAAGAGTTACTGATATTTCCCCACTAACAATCATCTTTTCCAAAGATGATAGCAGACAAAACATATTTCTTTCCAAGTAAAATTAGAAAATTATGCTTTCCTGTCCAGTACAATAAGATACAANGTATCCGCACTAACACACATATATTCTGAGTTGAAGGCTATGCAATACCAAATGCAGGTAAACAAAGAGTTACTGATATTTCCCCACTAACAATCATCTTTTCCAAAGATGATAGCAGACAAAACATCCTTCTTTCCAAGTAAAATTAGAAAATTATGCTTTCCTGTCCAGTACAATAAGATACAATGGCGAGACAACAAAATGTAAGGATGGCCAAGAAAAGCAATTAAGAAGATAAGAAGCATAAGAATAAAGCTATTTAGGAAACAAAAAATATGTATATGTTGGGCATAACAAACATCTTTCAACAAAGAAGAGAACATACAATATGATAGGCAAAAATTGGCAAGCAAAAGGAGCAAAACATTTTCTTTTGCAACCATTGAAATGGCCGAAAACATTTCAGTTGCTAGTGCACCACAACAAAACATAGATTANGGAGCAAAACATTTTCTTTTGCTACCATTGAAATGGCCAAAAACATTTCAGTTGCTAGTGTACCACAACAAAACATAGATTAAAAGGCAAAATTCAGCAGGCTTCTGTGGAAAACAAATAATCAACAAAAGATTTTTGAGCATTATAATAAGATACCAAAACCTATAAATTTTTTCATCCTTGTCAATAGCAACCATAAAANAGGAGCAAAACATTTTCTTTTGCAACCATTGAAATGGCCGAAAACATTTCAGTTGCTAGTGCACCACAACAAAACATAGATTAAAAGGTAAAATTCAGCAGGCTTCTGTGGAAAACAAATAATCAACAAAAGATTTTTGAGCATTAGAGAAAGATAATAAGATACCAAAACCTATAAATTTTTTCATCCTTGTCAATAGCAACCATAAAAAATGACAGAAGTTAGCGCCTAATTATTTTTCCCACTGAATGAAAGGAAATCCCAGTATTGGAATCCTAAAAAGAAATTAGACACATCTGATTCATACATTTGTCTTCTCTTTATTCCTTAATAGAGTTAATTTAATTTGCAAAGAGTCCCCATTACTGTCACATTTCCACCGAAATTAATGACTGTGAGGAGGACTTCAGCTCGCTGCAAATATCATCCAACAAACCATGATGCTTTTTCTACCTTCCAATAATATTCTAAACTTCTGGGGTTCAAAAAGGGTTCAAAAAATATAAAAGGGCCATTAAGACTAGAATTTCACAAACTTTCTCGCACAACTTATATGAGTTGGACTGCAAACAAAAACCACTGAATTTCAAGCTAAATAATTACAGTAGTTGAGTGATTAGAATCTGATTTTTTTTTTCACGGGAATAGCCAGGCATTTGGCCACCTACTCCCCTCAACACGGGTGAGGTCATTGCGCCCTCCATGCAAGTTAACACCTAGGATAAACCCAATCTAGTGGCTGCCCAAAGGGAAATGCATCCTAAAACCCCTTACTTCGCGAAATTTTGATGGGAACAATAACTGTGATAAACCTACATGGTTGGACAAAAAATGGGTATATGAATCTCATATAATGACAAGAAACAGCATCATTTGGAAGGTGGCATTATTTTAGCTTTCATTGTGACTGTTCTTTGATATGTATTTTGTGTTTAATTCTTTTTGGGAATATCTTGTCCTCAATATTGTACTTTGTCCTTCTTCCATTCTATAATAAAATTCTTCTTTTATCTAAAAAATAAAAAAACCACATCATAATAACTTCACTTTTGTTCTTCCACATAATCAAATATTTCAATGTTTTCATTTTTTTCCCCGAAAACCAATGTTTTGCATTTGAAGCACAACAACGTAATACATCCATACTTCTTCAAGTTGGTCTTATTGAGGGGCCTCGGTAGCACTATCTCTATCGTAGCATGCAATAAGGTTCAAAGAATTTTAATACGGTGCTATAAAGGTTCAAACAATTCCAATCCACTATGACATCATCAATGTCCTTAAATTTATCATTTATCAAATACACAATTATATTCATTCATGAGCTCCTTTTAGCCATCCATAAATGCATAAAGCACAAAAGTGCTTCAAACATCGGTTTGTGGATCCCCCACCCCCTGTTTCAATGCTGTGCAATCAATACACTGAGTAGAATATTGAACTCCATCTCTTAACATGTTGCTAAATTTTATTTCATGGTTGGGAATATATGAATGGATCTATTGTGGAAAAAATTTAAAAAAAAATAAAAAATCATTCTTTTTGAGTTATCAAAAAGAACAAACAATAAGACAAATCATTCGCATATGCTCTAATTAACTCTGGCAAACGAAAGCATGTAAAGAAACGTGAAACAACAAAACAATACAGCTTATGCTTATCATGCACAATGTAACTAACCTGCCAAATAAAACTACAAAGAGATTAATGGAGAGAATTTTTGTTTTTGACCACACACTACATTATATCAGCAAAGATGATGGAAAAGTTTAGCAATGTAAGGGCAAGATAAGTTGATCAAGATGCAGAAAAACTTATAAGCCAAATAAGAAATCTGAACACCGGAAATAGTCATCAGCAACAGCTAAGACTACTTTTTAACTACAACAAAAATTAAGGTTCAAAAAAAAAAAGAAATGGACATTAAAATCAAGGCATGATGTAGCCAAAAAAGCAAACTACCGTATACTGGACTGCAAACTCAAAAACATTCTATACATCAGAGCCAGTGAGCTTACATGTCAAAATTCTGAAAAAGAATTCGCAAAGTGCGTGCTTCCACACAAAAACCCTGCCAAATTTTTGGATACCAAATTATCAATAAAAGCTTTGTGGAAGTTCTAGCCATTAAACGAACAAATAAATAACACATATATGTATTTTGGTTACACATTAAAGTGGTTTAACTTACCCTCAAGATTTCAAGAACAAGAATGCGATGCCATAATGGCAAATCAAGAGATATAACCCTCACTAACATGCTGAGGAATACCTGCATAAAAGAAATATTTCCTGTAAATTTAACTATCACAATCCCTATAAGCAGGAAAAGTTTGTTGAAAGATATTCCACAAATATAAAACCGGCTCTGAAGTCCACATTTCTACAGTGGGAAAAAATGTGGCTCAAAGCAGAACCTCAAACATAAAAGGATAAAGAGAGTGTGCCAATAACAAGAATGTATAGCCTAGTCTGATATGCTGAAGAATGATGATAAAAAAACATTCCAATATATTTTCAATCATAGCACACCGAACATTGCACCCCATCATGCCCTCTCTTTGACAATAACGGTCAGTATCTGCCAAGAATGCTTGAAACACAAGGCTCAACACTACTCTTCCTTCACGCTACACCAGATCTTATAAGTTCTANTCAGTATCTGCCAAGAATGCTTGAAACACAAGGCTCAACACTACTCTTCCTTCATGCTACACCAGATCTTATAAGTTCTAGGAAGGAGGAGAGCAAAATGGCAAGGTAGACACATACTCCAGGTGAATAGTGTGAAGTTTTAGTAAACTGCTGAAGCCAAAAGCAGCAGGGAAAATTTTTTATGCAGCATTCAAGTTTGACTAGCTCTAAGATCCTTCAAATACTTGCAGGAAGCCTAATAAAAAAATTATAATGACTTCCTTATCTTCAATGTCTTCTCATCCTTAGATGTGCCTCAAAGAAACAGGTAATTTAGATANAAATTATAATGACTTCCATATCTTCAATGTCTTCTCATCCTTAGATGTGCCTCAAAGAAACAGGTAATTTAGATATCCATAGAGCTACCAATGAACAACCTAAATGCAAAAAGTAATTCATCAGTTCAAAGCCTTTGCCACAGCATTTCTANTATCCATAGAGCTACCAATGAACAACCTAAATGCAAAAAGTAATTCATCAGTTCAAAGCCTTTGCCACAGCATTTCTACAATCAGTAGCTCAACATCACATCCAGGTTTCACAGACACAAGTAATCAATATCAGTCCAAGCTCAAACTTTATACGCATACAACTTACTTTTCCACAGCTCTTCCTCCTAATCAATCCACCTTACTAGCATCAATGACTAGAAAAATCAATCCATCAAGCAAAGGCCCCATTTCAACCTATGTATTACATAGAATTTTAATATTTTTGCATCAATTTATTTATACAGTTTCAGCATGCTTGTTCAAGCCACTAAGCCCTTAACTGTTGCCTCGAACTTAGTTACCTCAACTTAGTTACCGCCCTAAAAGGCCCACGTCTCCTTCTTTCCCATCCCCATCCTTACAGCATCATGCAACAACTGCAACCGATTTGATTCGTTAGAAGTTATTTAGTCTCTTATTTTTTATAGTTATTGTTATGAGAGTACTTTTGTCCTTTTGATATTTGAACTATAAATATAAGTGACAGAGGGAGAGAGCCCTCTCTCTTCTCTTTTTCAGTTGTATTTCTTTTTTTCTTTCTTTTCTAGTTCTTTCCTTTTCTCTTTACATTAATTCAATATGGTATCAGAGCGGGTTTCATGATTCTCAGATTCATCTATATGCGAAACAATACCAAATTTTTTATTTTATTTTATTTTTCCTTGGTCTACCTAGAAAAGAGTTTTTTGGATTTTTATGTCGTCAGCAAAAAAAAAAAAATATCCTTGGTCGATTTGATGAGTAGAGTTCATCTATGATTTTTTTGAAACTATTTGATGTTTCGTTCTATTTTTTTTTTAATTTTCAAAATGTTAGGTCTATTTTTCAGACCTTTGATTTTCAACCTTCTTTGAAGAATTTGTTGCGAATAGACATTATAAATGCCGATCTACAATGCCCGAGTGTTGCATGGGGATTTGGAGATTTTTTTTTTTTGTGTGTTTTATGGTTTCAAGAGGGGTGGCAAGCATATTTTTTGGCCTTGGGTAGTCCATTTTGTGCTCTAGCAGTGATTTCATTCATTCTCCGTTATGTTCAAGTTTGATTAAATGCAAGTTTGAGATAGTAGTTGTACGTCTTGTTATTTTATGGTTTTTTGAGCCATTCGACGTGTATCTGGCCTTTAAAAGAGGTAGAAAGTAGATTAAACATGTCAAAATCTAACACAATATCTCAGAAACAGTCAAAAAGTGTTGCCAATTGACACAATTACTCTACCTGGTCACAGTCAGNATGTCAAAATCTAACACAATATCTCAGAAACAGTCAAAAAGTGTTGCCAATTGACACAATTACTCTACCTGGTCACAGTCAGCTATGTTGTTTATTAGAAGGGAAAGATCAGTCACTTGCCTAGAAAAACTAAAGAACCAAAGACCGATGATCCACTTTACGGTAAGTGGGAGCCTAAGAATTCAATAGTTATGCCTTGACTACTATACTCTATGCAGTTAGAGGTTAGTAATGACTATTTGTTTCTTTGTACTGCCATGGAGATTTGCCGGGCAGCATCACAGATTTACCCGAAGATGGGAAACATGGCACAAGTTTATAAGTTGATATGCTTGTATCACAATACTACGCAGAAGGATTCTTCTTTGGCAGCTTATTTTCATACCTTGCATGCGATGGCAGGAATTGAATCACTATCAGAGACTTGACATGGAGTGTACTAAAAAATGACTCAAAACTACTGAATAGGAGAGGATTATTAAGTTTCTTGTTGGCTTGAATCTTGAGTTTGATCAAATTAGGATTCAAATCCTACGGGAGCTATATATTTATGTTCAGTCAACAAAAAGTAGGTGAGGGACCATCCTCATCCTATGCCCTTGCAAAGTGAGTTTAGCCCTAACTATTGCCATTTCTAGAGATAATTAGCTGGGAAGCAAGAAAGTTGAGAGATGGTGTACAAATGATGCTGCAGCCAATAATAAAGACAAGTTGTATTGTGATTATTGCCATATGCTGGGACATAATAGAGAGACTTGCTAGAAATTGCATGGTCGTCCACAATTTGGAGGTAAAGGAAGATGATTAGGTGGTAGAGGAGGATCTTGAGCCTATCTTACAATTACAGTGCAGACTTCTTCACCTGGTCTTGGTCTTGCTTCATCCTCTATAGCAGAAACAATGGGTCTTACTAAGGAGAAATTGGAGATATACGTCGCCTTATGTCGAAGCTGGAGACACCTATCACCTATCACTCCATTCAATTTTTTTGTCCATGCGGATAAGCTTTCTATAGCATTGAATGCATATTATAATATTCTTTCTTGCCCCTGAATCATTGATTCAGGTGCCTCTACCCATGTGAATGGACTATCTACTTTGTTCTCATCATCTACTACTTGTTCGGGAAAACAACAATCTAAAATAGTTGGTGGTTCCTTATCATCTGTAGTTAGTAAAGGTACTATTCTAGTCACGTCATCTCTATCTATCTCATCTATTTTGCATGGTCTAAACCTTTCAAACATTTTTTTTTCTGTTAGTGACATTACCAGAAAATTAAACTGCAGTTTAACATTCTTTCCTTAACATTGTAGCTTTCAGGACCTTGTCACTTGGAAGACGATCGATAATGGTGAGGAGAGAGATGGTTTTTACTTTATGAATTCTCAAGAGTCAAGCGATGCTATCATTACATAAGCTCAAAAGTCAAAAAGATGTGATACTTCTGAGGAGCAGATTTGGCTACTATATCGAAAATTAGGATATTCTCCATTTGCTTCGTTGCAAAAAATTATTTCTTTTGTTTTCTAAGGTGAATGTCTTTCAATTTTGTTGTGAAGTATGTAAACTTGCAAAACGTAATCGTTTGTCATTTTCTATTAGTTTCAATAAAAATACTTCACCTTTTTCCATTCTTCATACAAATGTCAAGGGACCATCCCAGGTTGTTAGCTTGTCTAGTTTTCGATAGTTTTTGACATTTATTGATGATTTTTCTCATACCACTTGGATTTACTTGCTGAAAGAAAAAAATGAAATATTCTTTTGTTTCCGAATAGTCCACAAGATGGTACTTACTCAATTTAGTACTCAAGAACAAATTGTTTTTCTGATAATGGGGGTATGTTTATAGAAGACTTTGGTCCTATTTTGTCGAGCATGGTATTGTTTGACCAAGCTATATTGATACACCTCTAATAGAATAGAGGTTGCTGAAAGAAAGAATCGCCATCTATTATAAGTTGAAAGGGCCTTGATATTTTCTATGAATGTTCCAAAGTCATATTGGGGAGATGACATCCTTACCTCGGCATACATTATCAATAGAATGCCTTCTCAAGTTCTAATCACCATTTGAGGTATTATCCTCCTACTCTTCCTCTTCCTCTTCCTCTCATTCTTTTTCTAACTATTTTTTAGTTCCTCCTCGGTTGCTTGGATGTGTTTGCTTCGTTCATGTTCCTCCTCGCCTCTGAAGTAGGTCAAACCCTAAAGCAACCAAATGCATTTTCCTTGGTTATTGTTCTACACAAAAGGGTAACAAATGTTTTCATTCTCCTTCTGGCAAAATAATTGTTTTTATGGATGTCACTTTTTGAAACAGCATTCTATTTCTCCACAGAGACTTCTCTTCAAAGGGAGAATTTAAGTGAAAATAAGTTTAGGTTTGTTCTCCCGTCTGTCTCATCAGTGTCTTTCTTTTCATTGGAACAAGAGTAGAACAATAGAGAGGACCATCTCCAATAAGAACAAAAGGAATTACAAGTNCAATTTAGTACTCAAGAACAAATTGTTTTTCTGATAATGGGGGTATGTTTATAGAGGACTTTGGTCCTATTTTGTCGAGCATGGTATTGTTTGAACAAGCTATATTGATACACCTCTAATAGAATAGAGGTTGCTGAAAGAAAGAATCGCCATCTATTACAAGTTGAAAGGGCCTTGATATTTTCTATGAATGTTCCAAAGTCATATTGGGGAGATGACATCCTTACCTCGGCATACATTATCAATAGAATGCCTTCTCAAGTTCTAATCACCATTTGAGGTATTATCCTCCTACTCTTCCTCTTCCTCTTCCTCTCATTCTTTTTCTAACTATTTTTTAGTTCCTCCT